AAAACCTCATTTAATTTTATGTCTTATAGAGTTTATAATGTGAAAAAGATTGTACACGTGTAATAATTCATCTGTAAACCTAAAAATGTACAGCTAATTTTGAAAGAGATGTACCCTAGCTCAGATAAATGTTATTGAATAGGTTAATGCTGTTGTAATGAAATGCTTCTTCTAATTAAAAAAAAAGTATTAGTTGATACTTGTTTACGGCCTGTATTGTATTGTGTTTTGGACAGTTTTCACGGGCTGCTGAGAAGAATGAATATTTACAGCTGTGTTGTCTGTATGATGCTGGTTCTGCAGGCATGCAGAATAGCTTTGGGATTATGAAAGCATCTTCCCAGGAGGGGAAGCTAGGCAATATATGACTGGATTGAAGTCCCTTGGAAATAGCCCCTCACAAGGCAGTGAGTAGCAAATCAAGATTGAAATGAGGAGAGCAAACACTAAAACCAAAGTCTGCAAGTCCACACCGCAGTCACGGATGGGCACTTAAATGTATGGAATGCCCCATTCCAATGGGCCTACATTCAGCATCTTTTTTATTTCTACAAGGGCTCATAATTGAGTCTGCTTCGAGTCTTAGGGGAAACTCTGGGCTTGGATTTTTCAGCAATGCTGGAAGAGTTAAGACTTTGGGGGCTCTTGTTATGAGGTGGACATGAATCTCTGGGAGCCGTGACCAGAATGCCATAGTTTAGATTTGGAATGTCCTTCAAAGGCTGATGTGTCAAAGGCCTTTAAGAGGTGGAGGAGGGGGTCTCAGGACAGAGAGATGGCTCAGTGGGTAAAAGGACTTGCCATGCAAGCCTGGTGGCCTGAGTTCAATCTCTGGAGCCATGTAAAGGTTGAAGAACAGAACTGACTCCACAAAGGTTTCCTCTGCCCTCCACATGGGCACCATGTGACAGGTGGGCACAGAAGCACACATGCACGTGCACACACGCACACACAGAATAATAACAATAAAGTTAAAAAAAGATTTAGGGGGTTAGAGACAGAGCTCAACAGTTAAGAACACTAACTGCTCTTGCAGAGGACCTAGGTTCAGTTCCCAGCACTCACGTGGTGGCTACCAACCATTTGTAACTCCAGTTCAAGGGATTCTTAGCCCTCTTCTGGCCTCTGCAGGTATTGCATGTGTGGTGCACTTACATACATACAGGTAAACCGCTCATATGCATAAAATATAAATACATTTAATTTTTTTAAAAAAAGATTTAAAAAAGAGGTGAGGTCTAGTGTTGGGTCTCTGGAGGGGGGGTCCTCAAGGGAGGCAGTGGGATGCCAAATTCTTCTAGCTTTCTTTCCAGCTAGGAAGTAAGAATTTTCTCACCAACTTTCCTACCATGATGTACTGCATAGGTTAAACAACTGTGAGCTGAAACCTCCAAAATTGTAAGCCCCAGTGAACCTTTCCACAAAAGACAGATGGGGGTAAATTTCCACATCAAAAATAAGTTTTCCAAGTATAAGAAGAAGAAAGCAATCAAAAAGTAAATTGTATCCTAAAAAGTTATGTTGCAACAGCAAATAAAAAATCAACAGGGCAGGGCTAGCCAGATGGCTAGCCAGGAAAGGTGCTTGCATAAGTCTGGGGGCCTGCATTCAATCTCTGGAACCCACACAAAAGCAGGAGAGAACCAACTCCACAGAGGTGTTTTCTGACCTCCATCCTCACTCTGTACATACATATGCACAATAACAAATAACATAAAAAACAAGTAAATATTGTGTCTTTTCTCTCCTTATCTCTCTTTCCTTTTGCATTTGCCTTTCCCCTTTACTTTCGTTTGATAGCTTACCCTGGACATCTCTGTCTCTCTTATCTGAAAAAAATTTAAAATGGCTACTTTGTTAATATAAATTTTGTAACTTAAAACGCAGATATGCTAACTCATTAATTTTACCTTTTGAGACTTTGTTTGTTTGAGACAGGGTCGCACTATGCAGCCCTGACTGTCCTGGAACTAGCTATGTAGTCCAGGCTAGCCTTGAACTCACAGAGATCCACCTGCCTCTGCCTCCTGAGTACTGGGATTAAAGGCATGCACCACCATGCCTGGCCTTAATTTTACCTTTGATAGCTGTTTTTTAAGGAGTTACATTTTCACAGAAAAACTTCTTGCTAACAGATCTGTGTAAATATTTGAAAACTGATGTAAACAAAAGCCTACCTACATAATTCAGAAGCAACTGCAGGGAAGGTTACAGTGACAGTATCTCGTAAGGGTCACTCATTAGATGTCTGGAGAGCCGGCAGAATGGAAAAAAAATGGGGGCTTTAACATCAGAGATATACTTATTGTGTGTGTGTGTGTGTGTGTGTGTGTGTGTGTGTGTGTGTTATTGAATATATTGGGCACAGCATCATCTACTTACCCACTTTTCTTACTTCATGCTCAGACCTAAGGAAAGCAGAATCAAATTTGAGAATAGCCAAATACGAGTTTATTGGGCAAACCTCCTGGAAATTATGGTATGCTTTCTATGTACTAACATAAATAAGACTCCATGGGCAAGATTGCTCAGTGAGTAGAGGTACCTGTGGCCAAGGCTGACATCCTGAGTTCAATCCCTGGGACCCACATAGGAGGAGAGAACCAACTCCCACAAGTTGTCCTCTGACCTCTACACAGGCACTGTGGAATGCACATACCTGCACTCACATACCCACAATAAATAAATATAAAACAAACAAAACCAGAAAAAGGGCCAGAGAGATGGCTTGACACTTGACATCAAACATGAAGAGGATTTCTGCAAGTTTTATTTAGTTATTTATTTAGCTTTTTTTTTTTTTCAGCATGGTTCTTAAAATCCTTTTTGGAATGGAACCAAGGCAATACATGCAGGGACATGGCGTCCTGACCTCCGCCTCCCCCTTGTAAGAGCTTGGGTATCTGTGGTATTTGCTGGAATTGTTTATCACAAGGACTTTCTCCTGATTCTGAGAAAAGGTGCACCTGACCCAAAAACTAGCCTTACAGACAGGAGATCCCAATATCATGTGTCCTGACTCCACCTCCTCTACTGAAAAAGTATTTAAACTCTTGTCTCAAACAATAAAGTCACAGTCGAAGTCCTTCCTCCCACTTCATGATGGTGTGATTGTTTGTTCAATCCTGACGCCCTCTGCCCAGAATACTCAGAGCTTGACTTGCTGGCGTGGCAAGTGGAGGTTCCACCAAGATCTGAGGAAAGGAGGTAAGCAGACAGTGTCGTCCTTGGCTGGTGAGGACATATTGGGGATAATATATAAGAATGTTTGCAAATATGGGAAACGTACAAAGTAAGCATGAACTGTATCATCAGATTAAGAGAGTCTTGGAGGAACAAGGAACGGCTGTTAAAAGCAAGACTATTGAGCGGTTTGTTCACACCATCTCTGAAGCCAGTCCTTGGTTTTTGACTGGGGGAGGCTTAAATTTACTTGATTGGGAACAGGTTAGGAGGGACTGCCAGAAAAAATTAGAAAAGGAGGGTAGTGAGCACTTCCCGATTGCTACGTTTTCCTTGTGGCGTCTGGTTCGCGATGCATTGCTTTTGGATAAAGTGAAAGTAAGAACAGAACTTGAGGCAGCTAGGGAAGTCCTTGGTGAGCTTCAAGAGGAAGAAACTAGATTGTCTTTAGCTTCGACTGAAGAGGAAGGAGCTCGAGCTCCCCTTAGTACTCGCTTAAAACCTCTTCCCTCTTTAAAAGGGCAGGATTCAGACACAGAGACTGAGGGAGAATCTAGCGAGGATGAAGAACAAAAGTTATGTCAGCAGATTAAAGCATTAAAGAAAAAGTTAAAATCTCTTAAAACCACGGATAGCTTGGTTCCATCAGCACCACCTATGTTTAATGAATGACCAATGTATTCTGAGATTGAAGGTGAGGAAAAATTAAGGGGCGGTGTCAAATTTTGCTGTAATCATTTAGTTGCCCCTGTGGTGGAAGTTCCTAATCCTCAACAGCAAGGTCAGGTACTCAGACAACATGACCCTCTCCATTTCAAAGATCTCAAAGCCTTAAAGGAGGCTATCTCCGCTTATGGGGTACAAGCAGCTTTCACAATGACCATGGTAGAGTCCTACCAGACACAATACTTAACACCCAGTGATTGGCAGCAGCTGTGTAGAGCAGTATTGTCAGGAGGTGATTATCTTTTATGGAGAGGAGAGTTCCAAGAGCAGGCTCTACAGTGGCCTGCCTTAATGCTCAGGCCGGATTGGCTCAAAGAGATCTAGACATGCTAACAGGAGCAGGAGCTTATGCAGGGGTGGGGGCCCAAATATTATACGATCCAGCTGTATACGCTCAAGTGGCAGCTTGTGCTGTAAAGGCCTGGAAGAGCTTGCCTAATAAAGCAGCTGGGGATCAGCTTTCTAAAGTGATACAAGGACCCTCTGAACTGTTTCAAGATTTTGTTGACAGACTTTTACAGCTGGCCGGATGCATCTTTGGAGAGGTCACGCAATCTATGCCCATTATTAAACAATTGGCTTATGAAAATGCAAACCAGTATTGCAAAGAAGTACTTAGAGCCCAGAGGCACAAAAGCCTAAATGATTACATCAGATTGTGTAAAGATGTGGATGTGCATTATATACAGGGACAAGTGATTGCAGCTGCATTGCGCCCATCAAAAGGTAGACTGCCAACAGGCAGCAGAAGGGATCACAATTGCTTTAGCTGTGGAAAATCCAATCATTTCTGCGAAGATTGTCCCCTGTTGCATAATGATAAAGAGAGGGCGCCGGGGCTCTGTCCTAGATGCAAAAAAGGAATACATTGGGCCAATAACTGTCGCTCTAAATTTGATAATATGGGCAATCTTTTACCGCCATCTAACAATCAGGGAAACTGGCGGAGGGCCCCGCTCCAC